ACCTCTGTTAAGCCCCAATAAGAAACTCCCAACCATACCATGAGCGAGGATGGAAAATGACCTCGTTGGACACGCGGAATACGGTTGCTCGCTTCTTCACTAAAGTGTGCGTACACCTTATCATTTTGTTTGTTGTAGCTCTCTTCTACGGTAAATATTTTTTCATCCAAAAAAAGAATTTCCCGATATTTTTTTCCCGCGTACCGCTGCAACAAAGCGCGGCATCTCTTCAGTCTCAGGTCCATTACACGAGCATTCAAACGATGTCCTGTTTTTCTTCGATATGTCCGAAGCCCTAAGTCTTCATTTAACACCCTTTTCACCGTGGTTCTGCTTAACCCCATCTGAAGGGCCAACAGTTTCTGCTTACGTTTGGGATTTCTTTGAATTCGCGCCTTCACAGCTTTTATCACTGCTGAAGTCCTAACAGACCGAAGGCGAAATAACTGCAACACGGTCTTCTTTAAGCGTCCACTCCATATTTAAAAATGAGTAAAATTCTAAAAAGTATACAGTTTTATTTTCATGAATAATTCGAAATTCAAATGCAATAAACTTTTTTGTGGCCAGCATTCTAAAAGAAAAGTTTTTACTGTGTGACAATACTTATGACCTGACTAGGTATATATATATATATATATATATATATATATTTAAATTTGCCCATAATAAAACAATTTTTTCGTTCAAATCCAATAACGTTTTTAAAATGAAAACATTTTGTTTCAAATACTTCGATTATAGAGCTCAAACTAAGCACAAGAAATATGGAATAGAAAATAAAATTTCAAACGCATTTATTTTAAAATGACATCGCATCTGTCAAGTTATAACTCTATGCGCTCGTAGTCGAGTTCCACGCTCGCTGATTGAACGAGGTTAGACGAAATCGGCTTATCGTCCGTCGATGGCGAATGAAGAATAATTTAATTGGAATATGCACTCACTGGCTCCGCCTCGGCTCCGGTACGAAATATTTCCATTTTAACTGAGGATGCACGAACAGTTGTAATATGTATTTCAAATCAGTCGATTTATTTTTATAATATGTTAATTGAAGTTTTTGACTACTAACTTAGATCCTGGTAAATTATTCTTCTCGCCTTAAAGTCAAAATATTTTTACTGAATAAAAATATTTAGTATTTTTATTAAAAATACACATTATTTAAGTATTCAAGAAAAGCTCATTATATCGCAGCATTCTCACCTTTTAAAAAATCGTTTAATTTTTACATGCGACTTAAATTTTTGATAAAGCATCACGGCAATAATACAGTATATTATATTGTTATAGATAGATAAACATTTACATAAAAGTTATTTGAATAGTTTCTACATAAATAATATTTTGCAGTATAAACTGTGAAGCAACAGTTAAAATATGTTTAAAAAGATCACTGAACGTGTCCTTTTATTTGATATTGTATATCGCACGTATGGTTCTTTTTTCTGTAGTCTCTATTCTATTCTCAACATCAACTGCCGATCCCTACAGCAAACACCATTAGGACATCAAACTGTGTATAAGGAAAGCTAAAAAAACCAACCTTGTTGTATGTATATTTATTTATTTATTCTTTATTGCACCAAATATTTGTACAAAAGGCGAGCTTAATGCTATATGGCATTCTCTTCCAGCTAACCTTGGGTAGAACAGAGAGTGAGTTTGGGCAGTTAAGTTGTCATGATGTAATACAGTTCAAACACATACATGCAACACATATATATATATATATATATATATATTATATATAATTCATATACATATATAAATAAATACACACATTAATACATATATATCTCAATAAATGTATATATAAATAACTATAAACATATAAAATAAATTGACTCAACTTTGTAGGCTGCGGATATGCTCATATAGTTTTCTTTTAAAAATATTTTTGGCAAGTATTGTTCGCAGATCAACAGGCAATTTGTTCCATAGGGTGATGGAAGTAACTGTGAAAGAATTTGACATAGACCCAGAATGGTGGAGAGGAGTGGACAGGAATAAACTTTGTGAAGAACGGAGTTTGAGAGAATGAGTGTCACTAAGGAATTGAAATCTTTCTTTTAGATAAAAGAGGTGAGGAAGGATCATTAAGAACTGAAAACAGAGTGGACAGGATTCGGAAATCTCTGTGCTGGTGTGTATTCAACCACTTTAACTGAGAGCGAAATTCTGAAACGTGATCATATTTGCGCAGGCCAAAGATGAATCGGATACAGTTGTTAAGTAACCTGTCCAACTTGTTTAGCAGCTCCTGAGAAATATTAGTTAGACAAACATCGGCATAGTCAAATAATGGAAGAATTAGAGATTGGACGAGAAGACGTTTAGTTGAAGGAGGCAGAAACACTTTACGACAAACTTCGGACATATTTATTATTAACTATATCTGTAATTATTGCCCAAGCAGCCTAATTATATTATTAATAATTGATTTGTTAAATAATTTTAGCTCTAAATCAACAATCTAATTGGCAAATTACACTAAAGTACAGTAAAGTCATAAATACTTGCAAAGCAATAGCATAATACTAATAAGAATAAAGAAAAAACATCGCACCTACTTCTTACAAATCTGAGGTTGTACAAGAAAAAAAAGTCTAATTCACGTGTACAAATCGAAATTATTTACTACTAAATACGTACTGCAATTTCCATCTAAAAGTTTGACTAATGTTGAAACTAATCGTGTTGTACATAAAATGATCATGCTTTGTACATGCCTGGGCGGTTCTCATCCCCTAGATGACCTAAAACATCGACTTATACATGTTAAGCAGTTAGAGACGGAGTCCGTACATCTATGTTCATACGGTGGTCAGACAACTCGCAAACACCGTACAGATGCTGTCGCTGCCAAGTTATTTTAAGCTATAAAAGCCAAAAGGCTAACGGTACTCACTTCACATAGAACATACAATATTGAATAATTATAAAAATGCATTAGCTGTAAAAAGTTATTGACGCTATGTATAAGGATCATCATCATCATTACAGCCTTTCACAAGTCCACTGCTGAACATAGGCCTCCCCCAAGGAATGCCACTAAGCACGGTCCTGAGCCAGGACGCCCTACACTTCATCTGCCGGCACGAGGCTGCCACTCGAGAACCTTTTTTCTCCATCAATTTTCAGTTCTTCGAGCTATATGGCCGGCTCATTGCCACTTCTACTTACTAATTCGTTGGGCTATATCGGTTACACTGGTTCTGCTACGGATATCCCCATTTCTAAGTTTATCACGCAGATAAACCCCGATCACTGGCAACACGCACTGGTTGTACAATCTCGTTTTCAAGTTTTGATGTATGCCTGACGAGAAGATGTGTCGTAATTTCCCGAACGCTGCCCAACCGAGTTGAATCCGTCGATAGACCTCTCGGTCGAAGTTGGACTTACCTAGTCGGACTATTTGTCAACAACTTCGAGCTTAATGTTCCCATCAACTACCGGCATAGGTGTGACATGGACGTTACAAATGATCTTTGTTTTATCCACGTTCATCTTAAGACCTATCCGTTGGGAGGCACTATTGAGGTCATTGAGCATAGTGCTTAGGTCCTCCAGCGATTCTGCCATAAGGACTATATGGTCGGCAAATCAAAGGTTTACTCACCATTGATATTAATACCGTATCCTTTCCAATGCAGCGGTAAAGAGTTTCGGAGATATAATGTCACCCTGTCTTACACCTCTCTGCAGTTGGATAGGTTTTGTACTCTGGTTCTGTACTCGGATAACCATCATATACCGACAGTCATCTTGGCACCGCTGAAGGAACTGCAGCACCGACCAAAAAGGCTTTCTCGTAGTACACATACGCAAGAGATAGTGGCAAATTGTACTCCTCAGTCTTCTGTACAATATGCGAATAGGTATGTGTGTGGTATGGTGCTAGAGCCTTTTCGGAAACCGGCTTTTTGGGGAGGCTGGAAGTCGTCGAGTCTGCGTGCGAGACGATTCGTAATGACTCTCGAAAACAGCACGTAGACGCGGCTCAGAACACTAACCCGGGAACTTGCCGTTTTCAAGGTGTTGGAGAGCCATTCTAATCTCACTCAGACTTAGTGCGGAATATCATCGTAATAGTGTCGGATAAGACTTGCCCTTGGGTCGTTATGAGTAACATAAATAAGCAAATGTGAGCACTTGCGTGTGACTCCAAGATGATGAGTACAGCTGTCCATAGAACCTCTCAATCTCATTGCAACGCTCGGTCTTCAGCTTCGACAATTGGCTCTTTCTGGCAGACATATCTCTGGCAAAGACTTTGGAACCATGGTTTCACTCGATCGCTTCTTCAATACGAGCTGTCTGTTCAACGTCCTGTCTACTAGAGACTGCAGCTTCATTTCCCCTCTAACAGCTGTTAGATTAAGAGTGTGATCAGAGAGTTTTTGTGTTCTGCGGCGGGTTCTGTTCTGTATAAGAATAAATAGGCAAAACACAAAAAATCCCAAAAGAAGCCAAATTTGTGTGTAACCACAGATCTTATCGCCTAAGTGTTACTCGTAAATGATATCACAGTTACGTTAGACATAGGTATAAGATAGGGCTGTTGAGAACACTGTAACGTGTATCATCTTATTACTTGCATACGATATATTTTTACAAAAAAACGAAATCAAATAACTCCTTGTTTAAGTTAAATTAAATGTAAATTTATGTTAATAAATATGAGGCCAAATATTACTTATTATATTAATATTATCTATGAATAGTGTCCGCGCAAACAGATAGATATTAAAGCTGATAATGGTATCAATAACAATGAAATCATTTCAATCAGTCCGCGGCATACCGGTAATGAACAAAGTAGATATGATAAGTATATGCACATTAGAATACGTATTTACCTTGTGTTTATTAAATATAGATTAAATTTCGACAACCGGCATGTACTATTTCGATTTTTGTATTTGTCTTTTAAAATTAACGAAACAACAACCCGAAAGTTAAGAACAAGATTTCCTTTATAGATCCTTAAAATGGATCAACATATTATAATATCAACAATCACAGCACTTCTCCTTCTTTATAGTAAGTACAATATCTTAACTAAATTTTCATTGTGTAATATTTATTGGGAATAAGTGATTTAAATTAAGATGAACATTACTTATTTTTATTGTACTCGTATAAAACAGTCAAAGATTTTTTTTTATAAAACTGAAGTGACAAACAAACTCACAGCTCATGGACACAATCAATCAACTTCAAACAAAGACGGCTACAAATGTATTGTCGCCTCTGAGAACTAAAATGGAATGCCTCACAGCCTGTAGTTACACTAGTTCTGGCTGTCATACTGAAACACTCAAGAGTAGGCACTATTGCTTGACGGAAACATTAAGAGGTTGATGCCTAGCCAGATGGACTCCTAGATGCAAAAGGAGTCGTACATGCTAGTATATGTTTATGATTTATGTTTTCTTCAAGATATATATTTAAGCGACTTCAAAAAGGGGAGGTACTCAATTCAACTGTACTTTTTATGTGTGTAATCTCATAACTTTTTTCTAGCTGAACCGGTTTTAATTATTCTTTTTTTATTTGAAAGCTGGTGCTTCTCTTATGGTCTTATATAAAAATGATCAAGGTCTGACCAGTAGTTTTTCAATTATTCTTAATAATTTATATTGAAGTCGGTTGTACAAAATTTTTAATTTTACCACCGCATGATTTAAATAATTTTGTTTATAGTTTTGTTTATATTTTTTATTTTCAAATACTTGGACAGATAATGTTGTGGTGTCAGCCCAGTCTGCAGTGCCTCGATGTTTTCATTTCACATGGCTTGGGCCAAGATATAACAATGAAAGTGTGTTCCTGAACGCTACCTGCCAAGAGGCTACACGTTTAGCTGACGGAGTTCCTTGTGTACAGCCGCTGGTTGCATCATGTGAGTATATATAAAAACGATTACCTAACAACCTTCGATTGCAATACTAAAGTTGAACGACAACTTAATGCAGAGGACGCCCAAGATCAAGACATTAACACATACAGTGCGATTGTGTAACTCTCATGGGAATTGTTTGAATAACTCCGCAACGCCGTTATGTTTTTTTATCCCTCAAAGTTTTAAAGGGAATATCTGCCAAAATGGCGGCAGTCTTATCATACGTCCCACTCTAGGCAAAAGCTTCTTATATCCCATTGAGGTTTCTTTACGATGCTTTTCTTTACCACTGAGCACGTGGTAAATTAGCATTCAAAATTGCATTTAACATTTTCAGTAGTGTCGACATGGATTGAGTCAGGATTGATAGCGTAGATACTGTGAATTTTTAGCGGGCGTTTAGTGTTCCGCCTACCACAGCTCTTTCTTTTGTAACCTGAAATAACATATCACATATAAAATAAGAAAGACATCGAACATATACAATAAAGAATAAAAATGTAAAGTCGTTTCTAATCCTCAGCGATTGAAATGGAAAGAGAATATCTTTGTAGCAGTAGAAGTATGCCGCAGTTCTCTTTATTCACTATACCAAAGCGGCATTATTCTACTATTTTGCACCGGACGCTGGTATTCTTCCCCGGTCCCAACCTTTCGTACTGCAGCCATAATAAATAAGCTGCAGCGTGGTTTTAAGTTAAGTCGTAAAGTTATTTACAACCATTACAAACATAAAAAAAAACTCAAAGACGTTTTGTTTTTTAACCGACTTAAAAAAAGGACAAGTTTCTCATTTCGACTGTATTTTCTGCCGACTTCCAAAAAGGAGACGGTACTCAATTCGACTATATATGTATGTTTTTTTTATGTGTGCTACCTCATAACTTTTTACTGGGAAAACCGATTTCGATGATTCTTTTTTATTTGAAAGCGGATACTTTTCGTGTGGTCCCATATGAATTTGATCAAGGTTAGACCAATAGTTATTGAGTTATTCTTAATAACTTATATTAAAGTCGGCTATACAAAATTTTTAATTTTTAATTATTTTATGGCCGTTACCTCAAGGTTTTGATGATTCTTGTTTTATTTGAAAGTTGGTGCTTTTTATGTGGTCCCGTATAATTTTGATCAAGATCTAACCAGGTCAACTAAAAACTACTGGTCAGCAGTAATTAATAATGCGTATTTAATTGTTTTGAAACATTGATGATGTTCTCATTTTATTTATATTGAAGTCGGTTGTACAACATTTTTAATTTACCAATTGTTTAAATATTTAATTCGTTTAATTTGTATATTTTATTTTTTATTTTACAAATTGTTCTTGTAATTTTTTTAAATTATTATGAGTAAGGTTAGAAAACTAATAGTTTGAACATTAAAATAAACGTAAAGCGTTTGAAATATTTTTTCAGACGACGGAACTTGGCCAGATGTTGAGTATATTTGGACACACCACTCCAGAGAAGCTTCGTGTATATTAGGACAAAGTGACGTCTGTGCCAAATACACCTACTACTTTGATGGACATGGTATATCTTACTCTTACTTAAAAAAAACTTATATAGATATAATTATAATATAATATTATAATATTATTATTATTATTATTATTATAAGGAATCTTTTTTTTATATAGAATAAAGGTGACAAGCGAGCACACAGCCCACCTGATGGTAAGTGGTTGCCATAGACATCCACATCTATCCTCGATTATGAATCAAAATGCAGATGCGTTGTCACCCGTGAGCATTAAAATGAAATGCCTCATTTCCAGTAAAAAGGGTCTCCGCTTCTCTACACTCACCATACGAAACACAGCAGTATCAAGCTGCCATTTTACGCTGGTATTCTGTGAGAGCGTGGTCCTTCCCCGGTCGAGCTGACCCATTCATGCTACAACTACACCAGTAATATAGCTGCAGTATGGCACTACCACGTACAACTAATTTTAATTCTAGTATTTAAGGTGTAATCTCCAAAATTCCTACCATACAGAATCGGATTAACTTAAAGACTTGTAAATTGTCTTCATAGAGGGTATTCCTACCATACAGAATCGGATTAACTTAAAGACTTGTAAATTGTCTTCATAGAGGGTATTCCTACCATACAGAATCGGATTAACTTAAAGACTTGTAAATTGTCTTCATAGAGGGTATTCCTACCATACAGAATCGGATTAACTTAAAGACTTGTAAATTGTCTTCATAGAGGGTATTCCTACCATACAGAATCGGATTAACTTAAAGACTTGTAAATTGTCTTCATAGAGGGTATTCCTACCATACAGAATCGGATTATTTTAAAGACTTGTAAATTGTCTTCATAGAGGGTATTCCTACCATACAGAATCGGATTAACTTAAAGACTTGTAAATTGTCTTCATAGAGGGTATTCCTACCATACAGAATCGGATTAACTTAAAGACTTGTAAATTGTCTTCATAGAGGGTATTCCTACCATACAGAATCGGATTAACTTAAAGACTTGTAAATTGTCTTCATAGAGGGTATTCCTACCATACAGAATCGGATTAACTTAAAGACTTGTAAATTGTCTTCATAGAGGGTATTCCTACCATACAGAATCGGATTAACTTAAAGACTTGTAAATTGTCTTCATAGAGGGTATTCCTACCATACAGAATCGGATTAACTTAAAGACTTGTAAATTGTCTTCATAGAGGGTTACCTGCTTGTGGAAAATATATTGTTTATAGATTAAGGGTGACCGAGTACACAGTCCACCTGATGGTAAATTAATACTGTGGCCAACAGACATCTACATCTGTCCTTGATTAATAATCATAATACAGATACGTTGTCTCCCCTGACGACTAAGGTAGAATGCTTCGTTTTCAGTATAAAGTGTCTCCGGTTCTCTACACTCACAATACGAAAGACAGCATAATTAAACTGCTATGTTACGCAGGTTTTCTGTGAGATCTGGTATCTGGGCGGTCAGTATATCCCGGTCGAGCCGATTCATTCGTGCTACAACCATAATATAGCTGCATTTTGGCTCTAACGCGTATAAAACTTAATAAATATTTAACAGTGGTAGAGCCACGCGGCAGCTTTTGCTGTCGCACGGATGGGCCGGCTAGAACCGGGGTGGTACCACGACCTCACAGAAAACCAGCGTGAAGTAGATGTTTACCTCTGCGTTTCGCTTGGTGAGTGCAGGTGGCCGGAGGCCCTTTTTACTGGAAATGAGGCATTCCATCCTAGTCCTCACGGGTGACAACACATCTACATTTTGATTTGTAATAGAGGATAGATGTAGATGTCTATGGGCCGCAGCAACCACTTACTATCAGGTGGACTGTGTGCTCGTTTGTCACCCTTATCCTATAAAAAAAAATAACAAAATTTGAACACCACCTCACAGAATTCAAATACCCTTATCGCAGGCCGGTGGGTGCAGTGCTGACTGATTTGCGGGCACTTCTGCTTAACAATCCGCCTGAAAGTTACAGCCTGTATACGTCTCACTGCTGGGCACAGGCCTCCTCTCACTTCTAAGAGGGTTTTGCATGTTGGCGGACTTCACATATCTCCGATTTTTTTTATTTCTCAGTCATGCAGTTTTTCTCACGATGTTTCCCTTCATCACTTAAAATTAGAATTAACAATTTCATTGGTGTAAGCGGGTATCGAACCTGGATTACCCGCGTAATGTGAAACTTACATGAGCGCTATTCCCCTAAGCTTCCACGGCTCTTCTAACCGCTTGATTAACCAATTCCGCCAGACTAACGTAACAATTACGGCAAAGCTACCTTCCATGAGAGGGCTATTTATATTGGTGACACGGAAGTTCGTTTTCGAATGAGAGGTGCAAACGAAATATAGATAGTTACACTCATATAAATAAAGGCTACAGAATCGTTGCCACATGTAAGGACCAAGGTGGGATGCCGCATAACCTTTAATTATATCGGCTCAGTGAAGGCACTGCTGTTTGGCGACAGAAATTGTTAAGAGGGGGTGCTCCAGATGGATTCCTGGGCATAAAAGCAGTCCTACCAGATTCTTATCTATAAATGCAATTTTAATTGCTGATTTACCACATTTAGGAAAAACAAACTCTTAAGAATCCTGCATGTCTAAGAATAAAAGTTTTTGTGGCCCAGTGAAGGCCAACATCATGGGGACAACTCGGCAAATACATAATCCAAAAAAACCCTCTCAGAAATTAAAGGAGCCCTGTGTATTAAAGTAACATATTAACTTTGGCATCGCAATATATTTATGAGAATGTAATGTATGTGCATAAAACATAAATAGCTTTAATGAGAATAAGGATGTGTATACTTTAAACACTGGGAACAAACATAAGCTTGTAATGCCAGTTACTAGACTCCACAGAATCAGTAATTCATTTATGGGGCAATGTATACGCTTTTACAACAAAATCCCAGAACATATTCAAAGTTTGTCAATAAACAAGTTTAAAAGTTTTATTAAAGAAAACTGTACAAAAAGGGTTATTATAATATCAAGGAATACATGAATGAAAATAACCCTTGGGAATAAGGTGATCGCCACCATGCTGGTTCTACGAAAAATCATTTAAAATTGTATAAACGATGTTATTGTTAAGTGAAATACGTTTGAAAAAAAAGTCCCGCTGGGTTTCTAGCTGGTTCTTCCCAGGACAGGGGTGTTTTCCGAACCAGTGGTAAATAAAAAATGACGTTCAATAAGTATTATGTAATAATCAATATTGAATAAAAAATGATTCTATTCTATTCTATTCTATTCTCTTCTAACCCACAGTTGGGGGTTATTTTTATACCTTTCACGTATAGATATAATATAGATATAATATAATGCACTTTAACAATAGCCAATAAATAATATAAAACAGATTTTTATTACTGGCGTTTTTAATAAAAATATTACTATAATGATTCGAATTTAATTTCTCCTACACAATACAGAATAAAACCTAAAGCGTTCACAGACAAAACTAGGACGGGTCCGCAATAAAACACGGTTTTTCAATTTCAGTGGAAAATTCAACTTATATGTGCACTCGGGCTGTGGACTCGTTCGGGGAAGCAGTCACCAGCGGCTGTTACCAGCAGAGAAATGGCAGTTTTGCTACTCGAGTGTGCTTCTGTCGCTCGGTGCCGGGCGGTGTGCCTTGTAACGAGGCAGTAGTGAAGTCCGTTGTGTCTCTAACGATCTTTATTATTGCCATTGCTTTAGTTGTTTACGAAAATATACTTACGTGAAGAACACTTTAATAAAGTTTTTATTTAGAATTCACTTTTATTTTATTTACTACCTGAATTTTTTTTAGAATAAAGGTGACAAGTGACCACACAGTCCACCTGATGGTTAGTGGATGTTGTGGTCTATAGACATATTCATCTATATATCTATACTAATATAATAAAGCGGAGGTTTTTTTTTTGCTTTTTTTTTGTTTAAACATGCTAATCTCTGGAACAACCAGTCCGATTTGAAAAATTATTTTTGTGTATTTTAGCCAGATTTATGTGAAATAGTTTAAGTTATTATATAGCATTAGGATACACTCCTCAGCTAGCCTAAAATATTAATTTTTGTTAAGCGAGTCACAAGAAAAGGCGCTCCCGAAAGGTTTATCCGCGTGCGATGGCTAATGGTTAGTAATACGTAAATACAATATGCTGCAAAAGTATAGATCTTTACTTAACCCTTTCGCTGTCCCGTGTACTACATATAGGTCATTGCTATTATCTTACTATTGTGTCTGAAAATTGGACAGTGAAAGTGTTAATCTCAAAGAAGGCTCTCGATATCATATGCCTATTCCTTATACATAAGCCACAATAAGGTATTTTGTGACACAAAAGTATGAATATTATAAAGTGATTTATAAACGTTATTATATATTAATCTATGCTAACGAAAGTTACTTCATCATCAAGACAATTTTATGAAGATAAACTTTGCTTTTTATAGCATGTTTTTTTATAGAATAAGGGTGACAAACGAGCACACAGTCTACCTGATGGTAAGCGGATGCTGTGGCTCATAGACATCTACATTTATCATCAGTTATGAATCAAAATGCAGATGCGCCGCCACCTCTGAGGACTGACATGGAATGCCTCGTTTCCAGTAAAAAGGGTCACCGGTTCTCTACACTCACCATACGAAACACAGCATTGAGCTGCTATTTTACACTGGTATTCTGTGAGAGCGTGGTCCTTCCCCGGTCGAGCCGACCCATTCGTGCTACAACTACAATATAGCTACAGCATGGCTCTACCACGTAAAAAAGAAGAAAACGAAGATATAATTTGGACGCAAAGTTTAAGAGATAATGAAAAATTAAAATAATTCAACACACGGCTCGGCGCGTGAACGATGCATAAACTCTAAATGCCCGATGAGATCCGAGAGATACCAGCAATTGGCAAAATTAATGGAGTCATTTTATCTATCGGTATATGAACTCTATATGGCGAATTTTATCCACTCCCCCCCCCCCCCCCCCCCCCGATGAGTGTCACACTCCCGCGGCCCAGAAAATGTCCCGAAAAGCGGTTTTTTTTTAGTTTTAAAGAAAACCGTACACGATACATGAAAAGTGTATGAGTACGAAAAGATCCTTGATAAATTTTCTATCAACCTCTTGTACATACAAAAGCGATATCACTTATAGCTTTCGCGCAATCTGCCACGAAAAATGTACATTTGTTATCATTTCTCGATTTTACTGCTTAAAGTTTCCATTAATTTTAACAAGTTTTTCATACATTGCTATCTAAAATTATTGAAATAGGTGTCAAGTCATAGCTCAAAGGCGTGATATGCCCAGGTGAAACCGCGGGTACAGTTAGTCCTCGATAATAGTCAAAATGCACATACGCTGTCACCCCTGAAAACGTATATTATACGTGTTTATGAGCAACATCTTCAGAACCTTAGAAAGAACAGAGAGAATAGAAATTGGTATGAAATTGGATATAGCGTTGCAATCGGTAGATTTAGGAACGGGAATAATAAAGGCTTTACGCCAGAGAGTTGGGAAAACACCATTAGTCAGCGAAAAGTTAATGATATGAGTTATCACGGGTAAACCAGCATCACAACCAATGGCTTTCGATTTAATAGAGGAAATTTCTTTGCGTATCTCGCCTTCGTCTACAGGAGAAAAAGTGATAGTTTCCTGAGAATAAGGAGGCATGGAAGATATAAATGAGATAACATTAGCTCTAGAATTGTCAGAAACTATTTGAGAAGATAGAAAATGACGATTAAAATCAGTCAGGAGAAAAGGTGATGCTATTATAGTCTAATTGCGATTTTCCATATCCAAGCGTTTTGAGAAACTTCCATATATCATATAGGTATTCTGGGTGAATATGGTCCTCTCCCGGCCGAGCCGATACATTCGTGCTACAGCCATAATAAAAATGCAGCGTGGCTCGAGCACTTCTAAATTTAATGTATATAATGTTACTATACATTTATTAAAATTATATGACGCCCATTACACGCCTAGGCAAGCGTCAATCAATTCGATCAATCATGACTGAGGTTTTGAATGATGGAATAATTTGGACATTACACGCTCATGCTGACTGATCGTCAGTCAAACCCAAAGTTTCGGAGGGAAAGGATGGATAATCATAAGAAAAAGACCTGTGCTGCAATTTTGATTGCAATTTTGTGTAAAAAACGTACAAAAAGAAGACGCTGGGTAAAACACTGGCTTTTAAAAAGGGATTTCTATACCCATATTAACTAATTGACTGACATTCGGGTTTCAAAAGAGGACAAAGATTATGAAAATTATTTTCGCATGAAAGAGGCTTGTTTTGATAAGTTACTGGTCTTGGTAACACCATATCTAAAAAAAACAAGATACATGTATGCGAAAAGCTATAACTCCCGAAGAAAAGCTAGTAGCAACGTTGCGATATCTCGCTACTGGTAGAAGTATTGAAGACATGAAGTTTTCAGTAATCATGTCACCAGCTGCTATTTCTGAAGCAATTATGGATACATGTTGGGCAATTATATACGTTTTACAGGACTATATGAAGGTAAGTAAAAAAATAAAAACTACATTTCAATATATTTATGTCGCACTTTAATCTTAGCAATAATTATTTTAGTACATACAAAGTTATTGTGATATTTTAGTACATACGATTATGAAAAATTTTGTAAATGACTAAAAAAATTATTACAACAATTTTTTCATAATCGTGTTAGTAACCGCGGTCAACCCCCAGGTCCTAATTAGTTTAAAAATTAAGGTTTAAAATGAGAAAAGAGTGAAACTATGTTATAGCTTTTATTTTGATAACGTGTTGGAGATGGTGTGATATTGGGATCATTTAGAATATGTAATATGTATTCCTTTGAAGTAGAAGCAGGTATTTGAGATGGTTGATCTAGATTATAGTTAGCATTTAAAATTATTTGTGAAGGCGTGCCTCTTTGCAAAGATGTGAAATTATATGGTGTAGTACTAATTATATGCGCGCTATGTTGTTGAGATGATATTTGATGTGACGTCTGCGAAGTTGTGTGTTGAAGTGAAGACAAGGGTTGAGCGGCAGGAGATGTTAGTGTTTGTTGTGATAAGGGCGATAGTGGAGGTGGCGGAGATGTTAATGTAGAATCTGAATATGGACTGTAATGTTGCGAATTAATATTGAAGGTCACAGAAGCCGTATCTTGAGGTGAAGACAACGGTAGAGAAGCAGGAGATGGTGTTCGCGTGGATGAGGGCGGTGGTGGAGAAGGTGATGTTAATGTAGTAAATGGTTTTACGGAATCTCTGTTTAAATTACCAAGCTCTGCTACGAACAAAATGTCATTGTTTGCTTTTTTGCATATAGTCTTTGTATGGGATCTAGTCTTTCTAGTGTGTTGGACCACTCCAATGCAGTTGGGTTCGATAAATTTACATTTTGATTAGTATGGGTATTGCAAGGTTCACTCAAATATCTACACGCCCTATCTATCAACTCTTCGTAGTTCAGTTTTTTCTTTTTTTGTGAAGATACATATGGCTTGGGTACTGCAGATATCGATGAAAATGATCTTACTTCATTATTTTGGTTTGATTGTTGATGCTCACTGCCTTCCTGATTAATTTGTTCTGTTTGTGATGTTAGTGGCTCCTGTGTACATTAAATAATTGTCATAGTATTACTTACAAAAAAATCTTTCTAATTTCAGATACCGTCATCAGTAATGGAGTGGAAAATGATTGCAAGAGATTTTGGAGAAAAATATCAATTTTGGAATTGCCTCGGTGCGCTAGACAGCAAACATGTTGCTATTCAAAAACCACCGCTATCGGGCTCTTTATATCACAATTATAAAGGATATTTCAGCATTGTTCTCATGGCACTTGCAAATGCAAGGAAAGAATTTATAATGATTGATGTTGGAGCGGACGGCCGAGTTTCTGATGGTGGAGTGTTATTCTACACAAAATTCTGGGAATTATATCAACAAAGAAGCTTATTCTTACCACAACCAGCCACATTACCGAGTACATCAGATATTTTCCCCTTTGTTTTCATTGGGGATGAGGCTTTTGCATTAGGTGAAAATCTGATGAAGCCTTATCCTCAATATGCTTGCAACAATGAACAAAAAACATTTAACTACAGACTCTCTCGTGCTCGTTCTGTTGTTGAATGCGCTTTTGGGATACTACGCACAAAAATCGGATTTTTCCAAAAACACATCATCAATTTCGAACCCAGTAAAGCTGCATTAATAGTAGCAACATGTTGCTACTTACATAATTACTTGATTAAAACCTCTCGGAAACAATACTTGACATCAAGCTGGAAAGTTGAAACACAAAGCAGTGAGCAATTATTGGATTTAGAGCCTACTAATAACAGAAATCCTTCTAGAGACGCAAAAATGATAAGACAAAAATTTTGTCATTATTTTAATAATGAAGGAAAACTACAATAGTTTCTAACTATCGGTATTTCGTTGTTAATTACCTAGTGCTGATTTAAAGATACGTCCCATGTAAATTTCGTTAAGGATTATCGAATATTTGATGGAATAAATAAATATTATATAAAGATTATATCTACTTGTTTAATTTAATACACTAATAAAGATTATTACTTTTTTAGGTATAGGTTTAGGTAGAATTGAAGCAACTTTATTGATGTCCCGATTCATTGTAAATAAATATTTGCATTTACTTATCAAAACTTGGCTAAATCACAGTATTGAGGACAGCTTGAAACAATTCGGTTGTAACGCCTACACTAATGGTTCATACTAAATAATTGACAAAATTTTTGCCTTTACATTTCTGAAAGGCGCTTATTAAGTTATAAAACGTGACTGTTAATTTTTTTTTTAATTAATTGTAATAGGTAAAACAATATATACATAAAATATTACCTGGTTTAACTGATTGGATTCTTGTAATAGAGCAACAGGTTGTTCCAATTTTCTTAAAAAATGTAGGTACGGGAAATACCAAATTTTGGGATTGTAAATATCGTCTGCCCCTGCGCCAGACCTTTTGGATATTATATTTTTTTTTAATTCTCGGCGGTAGTTGGATCTGATTGAATTAATTTTTTTCTTCACATCATCTATGGTAGCGTCTTTCTTAATTTTTCTCAAAATGGGCAGCAACTTCGCCAAGTTTTCATTTCTGCAATCAAATCTTACCTTTAATTTTGGTAGCGATGTTTGGTAAATAACAGATATACCTACCTATAATTGTACAACCAGTGCGTGTTGCCAGTGATGACTTACGGAACTGAGACGTGGTCCTTCACAGCTGGCCGTATGAGAAAGCTCAAGGTCGCTCAGCGAGCTATGGAGAGGGCTATGCTCGGAATTTCTCTGCGTGATAAACTTAGAAATGAGGATATCCGCAGTAGAACTAGAGTAACCGACATAGCCCAACGGATTAGTAAGCTGAAGTGGCAGTGGGCCGGCCATATAGCTCGAAGAACCGACAACCGATGGGGAAGAAAGGTTCTCGAGTGGCAGCCTCGTACCGGTAGGCGAAGTGTAGGGCGACCTCCCACGAGATGGAGTGACGACCTGGTAAGGCATGCAGGAAGTCGATGGATGCAGGTGGCTCAGGACCGTGCTTTGTGGCATTTCTTGGGGGAGGCCTATGTTCAGCAGTGGACTTATGAAAGGCTGTAATGATGATGATGATGATACCTACCTATAAACTAAGTTCATTTTATATTCACCATTTAACTGTAATTTAATATCTTGAAAAGAAAAAGAAAAAAAAGGAATATTTAATATAATTTTACCGCCAATTTTGCGCGCCAATGTTCGACCTCTTGGAGCGCATAATCAATACGCGGCTTTATTTGAAACGCATTTATTTATTTAGATAGCTTTAGGACGAAAAATAAGCTTACATTTTATATTTATTCGTATACCCGGGGATTTTCGTGTCCCACAACTCGGGGAGAGCCTCAAAATTTAAAATAAAATCTTTTTCTGGCTGAAGCACATTCGGCGGGAGTGGCGACGGGCTGCGCGAGCGATAATGGGCGTCTAAGGTAATGACGAACAACCTATTCCTTACAAAAATCACAAATATAATAACCAGAAGTGTACCCGCCTGTGCATTTTTTTTATATGCGCATCTTTGACATCATGCACATATCCACACATGACATATCCAGTTCTCTGCGGGAGGCGATACCTACGAGGCGAGAGAAACATACGAGCGAAGAGTATGTATATTTTGTAATGAGAAACAAAATATGCATAAAACCTTATCCTTTTCTGCATCATTATTAAATTCTAAAGATTAACTTTTAAGGGCTTATCTTGGGCTTGACACAGCCAGAAATATTGCATTTGTGCCAGATGAATATTTGTAGCTGTATTTATCGGCAATAAATTAATTGACTTATTGCATATTTGTTGAAAATTATTTTGACAAACTAACAGTATTATATTCATGCACGTTACTACCAAAACATTCAGATGTGACCCTGAATTTATTTTTTTCTATAGGATAGGGTGACAAACGAGCACACAGTCCACCTGATGATAAGTGGTTGCTGCGGCCCATAGACATCTACATCTATCCTCGTTTGCGAATCAAAACGCAGATGCGTTGTCACCCGTGAGGACTAAGATGAAATGCCTCTTTTCCAATAAAAAGGGTCTCCGGTTCTCTACACTCACCATACGAAACACAGCAGTTTTAAGCTGCTATTTTATGCTGGTATTCTGTGAGAACGTGGTCCTTCCCCGGTCGAGCCGACCCCTTCGTGCTACAACTATACTACTAATATAGCTGTAGCATGGTTATTAACCAAGAATGTTTTATACTTCTTGTTGTAAGCGGTCTTTAGGGGACCATGAAAGGTCAAGCCAAGCGATCGATTGCATGCTGCTGCTACCACGTTATTATCACTTTTCTTCGTTAATAACTCAATCATCCTTTAATTAAGAAAAACGATGGAGCATTCCTTTCGGTAGCATCCCATGCATTCATGACAGTTGTCTAGATGCCATGTGTGCATTCGTATCCGTTAGTCTTTTGCAAGTACAAAGCATCTAAAACAGAAAATTATACATTTACCTATTTATTTATGTTATCTACTATTTATTTTACACAAACAATCAAAGCAACCGATACATAAAGAAAAACGACATTCCCAGGTCTGCTTATTTCTAATATTATTTTTATTCTAAAGTTAAATTTTAAATAGGGCGATTCCGGATTTACTTTACAACCCACGTTTACAATTAACCCAACATAGTTTTTCTACACTTGAAATGTTTTTGAGGTTATGATAGCACGTCTGATTTATATCTGCTACAGCCCAAATGTTGTATCCTATAAGCTTTTATAGCAAACGTAATGTTTTGGAAATTCAAATATTACTGCATATCACAGCAATGAATATAGCCAAAAATTATATGGAAAGCTATAAAAAAAGTTTGTTGGTACTTACCTCGGCATGCTCGGCTTTTCGTCTTAACTACTGCCCATGTACTAAAGTTGGCGAATGCAATCAAATTAGGGGGAATTGCGGGACACGAAGAGGGACTAGACTAGAAACAACTGCGTTTGGCTTCGGAATTACCCGGTGCCCGCAATCACCCCCCTCTTCTACTTATGGAATGTTCAAACTTCAAATTCAAAACCAAAACTGCAGTTTGCAATTAAACCAAAGTATATACCTGCATCTGCATACATACCTAGTTATTTTTTATGAAATCTATTCAGAAAGAGAACCGCTGTGGCGAAAAAGGGAACTTCATTAAGATTTTTACTCTTTTTATACAAAACAGGTAAATAAAATATTAAATAAATATAAGAATTTTCATTCGTAAAAGTGGTGCGATTTTGTGTTTTAAAATGTCTATATGTAAACATTGGACCGCAGAGTGGCGGTATAAGAATATCTAGGTACTACCCTATATTATGCCGTGGGTGTCGTAAGAGGCGACAGAAGGAAACAAACCAAAACATGGGCAGCAGCGTTCTCCTGTTAACAACTAAAAATAAAAAAAACTGCGGTTGCCAACCCACCTGCCAAGCGTGGCCACTATTTCAATTAACCTTCTATGGCGAAAGGTACAAAATACGGCCATGTCCCGGTGACTAGTGAACTGTCGGAAAGATACTAGAGTTGAAAGAAGAAATGGAAAGGAAAGATTGCGTTATATCCGTTGATATCCCAATATTATAAGGTTATTTGAGGTCCAAAAAGAGGCGTAGGACACGGTAATTCTTAAATTCGGCTATTTGTTCTATCACCGGGAGGATGACCATCTGTCCCAAAAAGGTGTCAGATTTATCGTTCACAGGTCTCTCGTTAACAGCGTTGAAAAGATTGAAAATGTGTCAGCGAGGGTTGTGTACCTTATACTAAGAATCACCAAATGTTATTCTTTAAAGGTGTAACAGGTTTACACACCAACCTCGGCAACGGCCACGAGAAAAAATGGAGGAGGTGTATTAGGATATCTCTTTAGCAATACATTCCTGCTAAACTCACTATAAGGTTTGATGGGAGAATTTAACGCAAAATGGGCACAAAAAAGGACGGCAAGCTGAAGATAGGAAACTTTGGAATACGTTTGGAATGGAACCCAAGGGGTAAACAGCTGGTCAAGTTTATGGAAAAGGAGGAACACTTTATGATGAACTTTTTCTTCCAGAAGTGGCCTCACAGGAAGTAGACCTTTTTTTTAGAAAATGGGTGACAAACGAGCAAACAGTCCACCTGATGGTAAGTGGATGCTGTGGCAAATAGAAATCTACATTTATCCTCGATTACGAATCAAAATGCAGATGCGTTGTCACCCCAGAGGACTAAGATGGAATACCTCGTTTCCAGTAAAACAGGATCTGGCCCTGGTCTGGCTCCGACGGTTGTATGAAAAATGAGATTGACTTCATTATGACGATCAATCAACGACAGTTCAGTGATGTCTCAGTGATCGCGAGGTTAGAAACTGGCAGCTATCATCGAAGATTGAGTACCATACTGAACCTTAATGATAAGTTAGAGAGGTCACGTCTAACGAAGTTAACGCTCCGTCCCTCTCGTGCTCTAATCCAAAGCCCCGAAAAGTTTTAGCCCGAATTACTAAATAGTTTTCAGTACCTAATATTGCAATACAGTGGACGATATAAATAACAAGTTAATATCCCATAACTGTTAGACAAGATATGGAGCAGCTGTCTTCACAGATACGAGTATGACAGCGTACAGGCAACTGAATAGACAGATCTCCAAATGCATGCGGTGGGACTTACGCAACTTTAATACAGCTCGTATTGAAGAAGCAATTCTGCGGAGCCAATTCTTTGTAGGATATTTGTCTGCCTAAAAGAGTCAACTGTCAAAGTTGAAGACCAATAATAGCAGCATCTTTTTTGAGACACTGTGATTTAGGTGAGATTGAGATATTCTATGAAGAGCTGTACACAACATCGTTGGAGCCAC